TTTTTCATATTTGTGTAAGTTTTTTTACTATAATAGTATATTCCACATTATATTCGTAACCAAGTTTTATAAAACCAGTCTTGAAGCAAGAACTCAAGTTTAAAAAACGAATGACAGAAACACGAGTTATTTTATACAATGAGGGCTTCAAGGTCTTATAAAATGATTTTTTTATATTATTATTATTTTTGTAATTTACATTCTTTATGCCGTTTTTAAACAAAAATTTCAAATCAGAATGGAGACAAATTACAAAATAGTGTTTTAAAATTGCTCTAATTGTAATTACTTTTTATAGTTTTTGCTTTTTTATTTAATCTTTTATTTTATTAGATAAATATTTCAAAACAATAAGGAACACAATCAAACTCAAAAAATTTATTTTAAAAATGTAACATAAAATATATTTCAAGTACTGGAAGATAATAAAAATGTATATAAAAATAAACAATACATAAAATCTAAAAAATATTAACAACAAATAATTATTTTTATTTGATCATTATTTAATTAATTAACAGAACAAAATAGGACCACAAATTATACAGGGTGTTTTGTTTTTACTGTTACAAATTGAAATAGCTGACAAAATATTCAATTTTAAAACAAGAGTTTTTTATAAACATGTATAAAAAATACTGTACATTTTTGAAAAGGGTACATTTTCAATCGGTCTTTCTTATTATTATTTCAGAAATTATTCTAGATAAAATTACAAAATTTGGTACAGTTAATTACCTAAACAAATTTAAAGATCAAATGTCAACATTTTTAATCAGGGTCGTAAATGAGCGAGTAAGAGTAAAAAATACCTTAAATATTGGCTGTAGTTTCTTGCCACTTTCATACATTATTATTCCATAGCTTCTCGCAAAAAAATCTCTTGTTGTTTCGACAGAAAATTGTACAGATCATAAACAAACAGAATTAAAATTAAATAAACAAAATTAAATAAATATTTTTTTATGCCGCTCTACTCTTTTTGAATCAGAAATAAGTTAACATTTGGGGTTAATCAGATTCAATACCTTATAAGCGGCATTTTTTATTTGGCATGAAAATTCTATAGGCGAATTTGCTTCGAAATAAAAATCTCGAATTCTATTTATAAAAATAGATAGAATTTTTATAACATTATTTTCATGTTCCTGGAATCGTACCTTCTCTGGGGCGCGAGTTCTGGCGCACCTTGTATACCTCCTGAAAGGGTTCTCAATGAGTTTTTCGCAATATTTTGGAAGCCATTGTAGATAAAATTGCAAAACTTGTTACAGCTTTAGTTTACCTTGTTGCTTTTTCTTAAACTAAAGAAGTTTAAGGTAAAAAAAATATTTTCAATTTTAATTTATTTTACATGTAAAGAAATTTTATATCACCTGTTTAAATTTGTAATAATAAAAACAAAATATCCTGTATATTTTTTCTTAACCGAAGCGGCATTTTCTACTTTTGGCCATAAAAATTCCTTGTCGCTTCTTTTATATTTGTGGTTTTAAATTCTCATTTATTACATCGTTCTTAAATTACATTTAATGCGCATGCGCATTTGCTTGAGTACTCCAGTTATATATACTTATCTAATATCATGTAGTTATTAAAAACCAAAGATTAAATAAAAAAGCTAAAACCATAAAAACTAATTACAGTTAGATCAAATTTAAAACACTATTTCATGATTTGTTTCCATTTTAATTCTTTAATACACATAACAGAAATCAATTATCATGTAAAAATTTTTAATAGTACAAACAAACAGTAGTTCTAAATAATTAAAAAAAAAATCCAAATAATTCTAAATACTTCTAAATAATTCTAAATTCTCACGTAATTCCACCAACTTGTCACTAAAATTCCACCCCGGTTTAATTGAAATTTGTTCGGGTGCAAAATAACGGAAAATGCAACTTATCAAAAATGATTATTTTAGTTGTTGCTGGGAAATAATTGTGCATCAGGTCTGATCCGCAAATTGGGGCACAATGTTGGCATAACTGGATTATCTTGTAGGGCGATTATTCTAAATTTGGGCAAATTGTTAAATATGAGTGAAATTCAGGGCTTACAGCGCTCGAAATGAGTACAATACTTGGTACAAAAATGTCTAATTGCTGATTAGAGTTGAAAACGCAAAGCCGCGGCCATCATTCTTAATTAACCTTTAACACAAAAAAATTTTACGACTTTCAGGCAAAATTATTTTTTTTCTCTCTCGAATCGAAACGCGTGTTTTGCTGATAAAAGAAAAAATATTTATGGTTGGATCTCCTGCAAAAGCGTCCATCTTTGAAGTTGTAATCCGGAATTGAATTGAAGCTTTGAAACGTAATAAATGCAAATGGCCTCAAGATATTTTTAATTAATATCGAGATTAAAAGGAGCGGTAGCGTCATTTTTAACTCGTACTCGAATTTAGAAATTTATGATCGATCCGGGACAGGTAGAACGTTCATTTTTAAAAAGTTTGCGGTTAAATATATCGCCTCGGAAACTTTGCTCGTAAATTGAATTAATCGAGCCAAGAGTAGAAAAATTATTTTCTAATCTCGGATTTATTCGAGTTTAGTTAAGAGCAGGTGCGCGATTAAATGTAAATTCGAAACTCACACTAAGATTAGAGTGGAATTGTCTGATCTAGCAGGCGCATCCACCAATTTTTGGCCATAAATTAGCCAAGCTAATTAACCCAATTTCGGGTTGTGATTAGACTTAGATACATGTGACGCGTCCAACGTCTTGTTTAATAAAAATTCCTCAAATTTAATTAAACAAAGAAATCCCGTTTTTGCCAGATAAGGGTCGCATTCGCCATATTTAACAGGAAACAATAAGCCGGCCATATTGAAAAACGCTTTTTGTTCCGTGTTTCATTTGTTATTTGCCTAAATGGAATTTGATGGCTTTGGGTTAATCGCCCTTGAAATAAAAAACACAATTTTAAATATTAATTTCATCGAAACATATTTGCGTCATGCCCTCGTCGCACACTGACATATTTCACATCGTGTTTCTTCTGCGAGTTTTACCAACTTTATTAAAAATTAATTAAATTAATGGCGACATTAAACACTCCACTTAACCCCGACTTCGGTAAAAATAGGCCAACAAGTGTTGCGAACTTTAAAACCAAGAAAAATGTTTCCACCCCAACTGATATTAATTATAACTAGCTACAAAATGTTTTTTTTTCTCTAGCCGGATTAAAACATGTCATTTTTGAAAGATAAAATTGACGTTTTTACAACTAGGAATCGCACTTTTAATCCTTGACTTATTTTTTTTAATCCTAGCTTCAAAAACTGACACTTTTAATTCTAATAAAAAAATATAATTTTTTTTAAACTTTGGGCATGTTGTTGTTAGATGGAGAAAAAATATTATATTTTATTCGGCTTAAAAGTGGTTTTTTTGTCTCGCAATTTTGCATCCTCTCACCAAAAAAGTGACACTTTTAATTCAAGTAAAACAATATACTATTTTTGTTCCAAAGCTGTTGAGGACGAAAAAATCAAGTTAAAAGAATGCATTTTTTTTAATTCTTAGGATTATTGAAAATTACAGTAAATTTTTTTGAAAGTTTTGCCTAAGAACTTGACATCTTATATTTTAGTAAAGATACGAGTATAGACACAAACTTTAAACTAACTAAAAATAGATAACTATCTGATTAAATATTTAAACAAACATTAGAAAAAAACATAAGACAAAATAGTCATTTTTGTTACTTAAAATACAGCTTTGCGGACAAATCATTGCTGTTTCCGGACAAGGCGCAAAATAAGCCTATAAAAAAGTCTTTTTTTATGTAATTTACAAAAATCTAGGATAGTTTGACACTACAAGCGCCAAAAATAGTTTTGCAGAAATTTTATCAAAATTTGAGATTTCGGAAAAATTTTATAGCACCTCGGCACTAAAGTCATTTTTATGACTTATGAGTTATATTTATTGTAACTTAACAGACATTTGTAATTAAAAATAAACCTTTGATGTCTTAATACATAAATAACTACTTTTTTGTTGAAGCTCACAAAAATACAAAAACTTCTTTTAAGTTTGTACAAGGTGTCAGAACTCGCGCTTCAGAGAAAAATTTCACGTAAGATAAGATAGAGCATGGAAAAAATGTTTAAAAAACTTTATCTGTCAAATTTTTTTGACATTTGACATTTTTTTGTGTGTATTTAATGATTTTGATGATTTTGTATAGATATGGTTTTTTTTACAATTATTTAGTAAAGGTATTAAAATTTTGCAAATAAATCCAACAAATAACATTAAACGGAGTGACAATTTAGCAAAAAAACTTGGAAAATTATTGTTTCAACAGAAGTAAATAGAGTCAAAGTAGAAAATTTAAACACTTTTTGTCGCATTCCTGGTATCGTACTTTACATGGCATTTTTTCTGGAGCGCGAGTTCTGGAGCACCCTGTATAATAATGAATTTCTCGAAAATAGTGGTTAAAAATAAAAAATACGATAGTACTTACAATAGCTATTTTATGACCTATTTTATTGAGTTCCAAAAAAATTATTCTAAAGACTTAAATAAGACTGTAAAGTGTTATTTTTGCGAACATATACAAAAAATAACAATTTTAGATAATTTAATATTGTGTCTGAAGAAGACTCATTTTACAGACTTAAATGAGTTCTTGGGAGCGTATACAAAAAACGTTTTTTATCTTTCTTTTGTGAGAAAAAATAAAAATTAAGAAAAACGATCGATTTTTCCTAATGTGAAACTCGTCTTTAGCTTCATTGTCAGTCGAAAAAGAATGGTTTGCAAGACAACTTATCATAAATTCTTTTATAGAAAAGACCGCTTTGTCGAGTAATACAAAGCAACATCTTACACGTTTTACAACAACCACTCTACATCATAAAAAGGGGGGAAGATAGGGGTAGGAAAACCGGTATTTACGTCAAGAGATGCTTGAAATAAAACAATTTTTTCGTTTGATTTATATTTATTTCAGTTTTCAGTCTCTAATAAATTTCTCAGTCTCTGTAGGGCAACAAGAGAGTCCTCGTCTTCTCCCCCCTTGAAAACACCACCAAATAATTACTAATATAGTAGTTGATCATGGAATTAACATCCTTGAAGGCTTTCTCGTCGTCCTTTTCCTCCCCCAACGCCACTCCCCCGTCCTCCCTCCTCCTGATATTCAAATGAAAAATTTTATGATCCTGCACGACCGACAGCGTCCCCAGATTTCGATTCTTCGACGGCCGAATGATAAAAGTGCCGTTTTGTTTGTTTGCGAGGAGACGTTCCGCCACATCGCGTCCTACCTCTTTGTAAAACGTCTCCGTGGCGTCGACGGCGGCGTCGCCGACGTCGCCGGTGCCCCGACACATGGCGAAGACGTCGAAGACGTGCCCCAGGGAGCGCTGGGCGAGGTTGACGACGACCGAAAACGACACTTTCAAACACCAACACATCGACGACTGCACTTGCTGCACTGACATGTGGAGCTGGTTTTTTGACTAATTTCGACGAGTGTTACGCTCATTTTTCCTGCGAGACATTTGATACGATGTGTATTGTGATTTTTTGTCGAGGGCATTCACGTCTTTATGGAGCGGAGATGATGGGACAGATGGGGATTATTTATCACCGAGGGGATTGCCGATAACGACGGCTTTGGTTTTGGACCAAAAAGGGCTGTTTTACGCGCTGTTTACCCCAAATTGGCGCACACACTTCGTTAAAATAATTACAATGAAAAAAATCCATTAAAATTTATCTCTGTAGTGCATTTTGAAGCCGTAGAGAGATGATCTTGGGCGTTTATTTTATTTGCAAAACTTTTTTGTGTTGTCATTTTTTAAAAAGGACTCATTTTTGTTTAAATAAAATAAATTACATAATAAAATACATTAATCTAGAATTATTCCAGTGTTAAACTTAGGCAACATTAGATTGGAGGTAGCTCAAATTGGTTCATTTTGGCCTAAAATTGGATTTTAAGCAATTATTTTTATAAAATACTTGATTTCTGTAGTAAAATCGACCAAAATTGAGTTAAAAGTCAAATCTCTCAAATTTCTTTATTTTGGAAGAAAACTGTTATTTAAGCATTATTTTCTTGAAAAAGTTTAGTTCATGTTGGCAAACTAATACTAATACAGCGTGCTCCAGGACTCGCGCAAAAACAATTATCCCTCATAGATATATGAAACTATTTAAAGTAAAATATGAAAACTTGAGAAAATAATTAAATTGAAAAACTCAACAAAAAAAAATAAACGCACTAAATAATATGACCTCAAGATTTTTTTCAACATTTTTTTTTATAATTTGCATAATTATGTTTCTCAACAGGGAACCGTTAGGGACACGGAATTTCGAACCGAATTTTTCTGTCAATACAAAAATTTGTGGTCTAAGCTATTCTTTATTATCACCATGACATATTTAAAAGTCTGAATGACGCGTAAATGTCAATCCCTCTCTGGTTATCATTAAAGAGAGGTTAATGAAATAAAATCCATTTTAGAGATGATATAGTAAAGTGACAGTCTTGTCCGAAATTCCGTGTTCTTAATTGTACCTGAGTTTGTGCGACACTTTTTGTACGGCTTGTATATACAAAAATAAAATTTATATATAAAATTATATATAAAATATATATAAAATTTTTTAAGCATTTTTTTCCATTTTCTTGGTATTTTTTTAGAAACACAATATTTATAGAAACAAATAAATTTAATTTTCGAGTAGAGCATTAAAATCATTATTCTAAAAACTTCTCTGAAGATGTTCCATCAAAATCGCGATTTACATAAATATTTACCTTCTTGAAAACTTATTTTTCTGTTGGAATAATTATTTAAAAGGTTTAGTTCAGGTAATAGATATTTTTATAATCCGCTTAAATTTTGCAGACAAATAAATATCATATTGGAGAGTCGGAAATATCATTACAGAGTATCGCCTAATGAGCCGCCAAATTTTCAAGAAAATTTGGAAAGAAGGTTTATATGTTTACAACAATTGTAAATTTATTTCTTTTTTTTCCAACGATTGCTTTCTTGTTGTTTTCTTGTGTTCTTCCTCGCTTTTGTGCTTACTCTCGTAGTAAAAATCTTAAAAAACAAGTTTCATATCATAAGACCAGTCTTCAGGAATGAATCCAAGTTTAAAACAATGTTTAAAGAATTAGTGCTTCAAAGTTTTATAAAACGTATTTTTTGTAATTCACCTTCTAATTTCAAATGATTTAGTCGCCTTTTGACTATTAAGAAATCGCGTTTTTTAATATGTCTATTAGAGAATTTAAAAAAATAATTCTAAAAAAATTATATGAACTGGGTTTAGTGAATTTATTGAAAAATTTTGTAAGAAAATGTTAAAATACAAAGCACGAAAAAAAGCGTGTACACAAGTAGAAAAGAAAGTAGAACTAGATTTTAGTTAAGGTTTGGTGGCAGAAGAAATTACAGAAATAAAAAAAATGAAAATTTACTAAAACTAAAAAAAGAAATTGAAGAAAATGAAGAGACCACAAGATGTCAGTCCTCAGAATGGTGGAAGGTCGAGAAAAAGCTCCAATTTTCTTTTTCAGGAAAACAACATCAACAACAAAAAAGTTGTATTTGTTATAAGGCAAATGGAAACACTTCCACGATATATGAACAAGAAAACAAACTCCTAGCTGTAGAAATGTTTGGAAATATTACGTCACGTATAATAATGCCAAGTTTGATTATTATTTCAGAAAAAAATCTTTTTTTGAGAGCTATTTCTGACAGGAAATTACCGAAAAATTTTGCTCTTATGGAATTAAATGTCCATCTACGGCAAAGAAAGGAGTTGTAAAAAAAAATTACATTTCTCGTAATACATGAAAAAAAAATTAAAAATAATTTTTTTTTAAAAATCACAGTTATGTACCAAGGTGTAGAAACAGATAATAAATGTTATTTTCACGTGTACATGGAAATAGAAGTGCATATCGAATTAAATTCTGATGATAAATCTTTTTGCAAAGCGAGGGCAGGATACAATAAAATTGATACTTGGGTATTTGAAGTTTCCAAACGCAACCTTAAATTCTGGTAGTTTGTTAATTATTTTTGCGATTATAAATTCACCAATTGAAAGATCTAATTTTCCTCCTTCATATGCACAAATACGATTTCAAAATAATGAAAAATAGTAGAGTTATTGTTTTTTGAATAGGAAAGTGCAAATTCAAAAAATCTCAAAAATGTCTAAATATTTTGAAAACGGTAAAACTTAGGTAGTTATACAGAAAACTAATAAAAATTGTTTCGAATTCACTTGAGTAATTCAAAAACGCAATAAAAAACATTTAAAATAACGAAGTTAATACCCACTTCCGGTGTAACCGGAAGTACCGCCATCTTAGATAAATATCATTGTTAAAACTCCTAATACTTCTAATGTGGGGTTTACCCAAAACAGCTTGTATACAGGCTGTTAAAAAAGATTGTAAAATATTTAAGGAGGTAATAGTAAATAATTTTGCAAATAAATGTTTCAAAAAACGACTTTTTTGTTTATTTTGGTCCATACTATTACCTCTTAAAATATTTTACAACCATTTTTTAACATCCTGTATAACTCGATCATTTGTAGGTTTAAGGAAAATCATTATTAAATTTGCTCCCAAATAACTCAAAAACGTGTCAATATTTTTCATTTCTGTAGTGTAAAATATCAGAAATGCCATTATGCCCATTATTCCAGTCGGTAATGACGATTCCATCAGTATTCCATTACCGACTATCTGAACCTTTACTCGAATATAATCCTCTAGCAAACGTAAAAAAACCCATTACTAATAGATGCATTCTCTCGTCCCAAAGCCGAATTTTATTATTTTATTAGTTCAGTAAGAATGTGTCTAGACGAAAACGCCGTGTGTTTCCAATCGTCCCGATTTACATTCAATCTCCAATCGTCGAAAAAAATTTATTCGACCCCCAAGGGCGTGTTTATGCACCCTTATGCCCTGTACAAATATTTTAATTAAAAGTTTACTTTAACAACCGTCGAGTGCTTAAGTCAACACTAGTATGGAACGTTAATTTGGGCCTAATTGAAAATTGAACTTGGAAACTTTCGGAATATTAGGATAACGTTAAAGCGCTGTCTACCTTATCCTCATTAGCAGAAGCGCCAGTTCGATTATGACTTCGCAAACACATTACAGACACATGACGACCGCAGATGAGACCCTTTCAAACGCATATTTGAATTTCGAACGGTAGGAGAAGAAATATTGAGAAAAAAAACGAAGATGGCGCTAATTTGAATTTAATTCGAGAGGGGGGCGGGAGTTGGCACGCCTGGAAACGAGTTATTAAGTTAAGACATGAGCCACTGTTGCCAACCGACTAATATACATCATTATTTAGATGGGAGGCGCCAATTTGCTACCTAATCTTAAAAAAATTATCAATTAAAAACTATATACTTGTAAAATTAACCGGAGAATAAGTTTTTGAGATATGACTTTTTTATAAAAAAAAATAAAATAAAAATGGCTCTGTACCCGCAACCATAAACCGGAGCGACTTCCGGTTTGCGCCATTAGATAGATAATTTTAAGTAAATTTTAACGGCTTTTGCTTTTTGGCCTAAGCGTTATAGTTTCGCAAAAGAACGCATTTAAACTTTCACAATTTTGAAAATTTTTACTTTTTGAACGACGATTACGCCCAAACTATTAGACCTAGAGCAAAAAGCTCAACACCATCGTAAATAGCGTAAGAAAATCTATCGATTGACATTAAAACCAAGTCAATATCGCAAAAAAATTTAAATTTTTAAACTCCGATTACGGCGAAGCTAAAGGAGATAGCAAAATGCTTGGCAAATTTGTAATCATCGCCTTAAAATCTTTCGGATAAAACAGGTTTAAATCGAATCTGACACATGTTCGAAAACACTAGTTTAAAACTAGTGTTAACAAATTTTTACTTTTTTTTATTTTGTAAATTGCGGCAAAACTGTATCTTAATGATATAATATTTTTACGTAAACCTATGTAAAATGCTCCGAGGAATCCATTGACGTCAAGAAAACTGCAAAATTCGTAATAGTTATAAAGTTATAGTCGAATTTGTATTTTTAAAATTTTTAATTTTATCAGAAATTTTCTCGATAACTATTTATTGTAGGACACTGATCTTTTATGTATATGATAGAAAATTAAATATAAGGAGTTATCTCCAATAATTCCGAAGTTATTAACAATAAACCGCTCCACGTACCGAAAATCGCTCAAAATTTTGACAAAAATTAAAAACTTAAAAATTGTCCATTTGCACTCTTGTGGGTTCAAAAGACTTAGAAAAGAACAAAAACGTTGTAAAAATGTGAAAAATAATTTTTTGAAAAATTTTGTGTAAGTGTTGAATATATTGAATAAAAACATTGAAGTTGTCGGCGTCGGTGGTGGCTCAGCGGCATAAGGTCCCGCTTTCCAGCAGGTAGGTCCCGAGTTCGAGCCCCGGTCAAGTCGGCAATTTTTCTCAAATTCAAAATCAAATATAATTCAAATAAATGTCAAAAGAGGGCGGGCGCATAAGAGCGCGATCTTTAAAACATGTGCACATGTTCTAATAAGTATAAGAGAGAAAGCGCACAATACTAACAAAAATAAGCACCGATAGATGGCGGGCGTATAAGAGCGCGAACTTTAAAACAAATATCTACAAAAGTGAAAATAGTGTATAAAAAATAGTATAAGTAAACAAAAGGTAAGTTAAGAGTAAAATAAATGAAAGGTAAGTTTTGCATTAAAAATTAAGGAATTTTTTTTATTAATTATTGTTATTATTACTAATAACACAAATGATTTACATAAGTAGGTATAAGTAAATAAAAGGTAAGTAGTATAAAGTATAATAAAGGAAAAGTAGCATGAAATGTATACAGGGTGTTAATAAAAGCAATATTTCAGGAGGTAGCACTACGGACCAAAACAAACAAAAAAAATCTTAATAAACATAGGTCCGCAAAGTAACAGAATATTTTTTAACACCTTAAGTGCGCATTTTTTTACATAGATAAACACCCCCTAAACTCTATCTTTTCTTGCGCCACTGGTCTTTAATTAATTTTGAGTAATAATAATAGAATTATTCTAAAACAATTTTCACAAACACGATAACTGTTTATCGTACAGCACTGATCTTTTTTGTATATGATAGAAAACTAATTTTTTGTCCAACAGTACACAATATAAGAAGTTATCTCCAATAAGTTGGCAAAAGACCGCTCCGGGTACCAAAAATTGACCAAAATCTCGATAAAAATTTAAAAAAATCAACTTTGATTAATCCATATAAGGTTTTTTTCATTTCTAGAGGTCTTAAGGACTCAAATAAATGCAGAAAACGACATTGGGTCTAGTTTCAAAAATTTTGAATTTTTTGAGTTTTTGAAGGTGAGCGGTAGTAAAATCGTAAAAATAATCTATTTTCTTCAAAAGACGCAGGTTTATATACTTAAAAAAATTACAAGCTTTTTACTGAAATTTAATAAAAAAGGACAAACCCGGCGATTTTTAGGTTTTATAATACATCCTTCCGTTTGAACTTTTAGAAAAAAAATAGAAATACAAAAATGAGGGTGTTTTTTCGATAAAATTTGATCGTCCTTGGCCTTCCCCAATTAATAACTTGGCAAGCTCGTAAATTGCAGAAAATTAGTGGCGGCAATGCTGAAGCGCGTTCATCAGCAGTAATGGTATTAAGACAGTTAAGAGTAAATGGGAGAGGCCTGAAAGTTGTAATGTCAGTGATTCATCGGTCAAGTTCTAAAAATCTCCCCAATCGGGAACGAGATAGGGGCTGGCAATATCGGCACATTTTCGAGCTTTTGTAATTCATCGGAGAGATTTTTTATAGCATTTCTGCGGACTCGAATTAGGAAATTATGTAGCAATTTGCTATTTTTGTAGTCACTAAAGAGAGTTCTCAATTGTTTTACGAAGTATAGCGTGCGTAAAACTCCTATTCCCACAAGAGTGGTTATTTTCATTTGATTATATCTGAGATCCGAGGATTGGAAATAAAAAAATCCAACTTAATTCTAATTGGTTTAGTTGTTCGCAATTTCGATACAGACAGTTGTACAACTAATAAAACTTAATTAAAAGCAATACAACGCGGCAACGGCAACTTCTTGGTAAAGTTATTTGTTCACTAACATTAATTAATTAAGACACCAACAAACGAAACGGCATAGTTAAGCAAACGTTCGGTTTATTAACTTGCTAATGGACCTACACCTACATAAACTTTAATTAAGCTTCCAAACTTATCACTTATTCAATTCTCGGGAAAAATCCCCTCTCGAAGCACTTAAAATAATTGCCAAGTTTTCACTTTTCCGGGAAAAATCACCGGTCAAGATGTCACTCCTCTGAATAATCACTTCAAATTTTTTTTTTATGTTTGCCATTTAATCAACTCGCTAACTGTACTTTTATAAATTTTAAAGGGCGAGGGTTGAATTAACACCGGCCAACATTACATGAATAATTATAACAATAATTAACATGGGTGCCACCTGAAAATGTTTGCACCTAGATTTAGTGACACTTTTATTTATAAATCAAATTATTGCGAAAGGATAAGCCAATCAATAAAAAGTTTCAAGTGAAAAAGTTTTTTTTAGAATCGGTGCTGGTTTCGTGCTCGCGAAAAGCGTACCAGAATGAAAATTTAAGGAGTTTATTGCTCTATCGATTGCTTTTCCTGAATTGTGGCAAATAGCAATCAACATGACCTTAAACCCCCTTTTTGCAACAAAAATCAATTTTTAAGTTGCAAATTTTTGTAATAAAAAATCAATTATATTTATTGTACTCGTTAATTAACTGAACTGAATTATTTGCCTCACTACGTTTGACAAAATAAACTAAAACTTTGATTTCCTAAAGATTTTCTGATTCTCTTTTGCGATATAAACTTTGTTTTTTGCTCTGTTTTATAAAAGTTCAATAAATAGTATATTATGTTGTAAACTTACTTTCACTCATAACATATTACGATTTCATCCGCAAACGTATTTAGCTCGGGAGTAACAACACTATAATTAGCAAGTAAATAAACAAAATAATCAGGACACTTTGCAAATAATGAAATGATAACAAGACGTAAAAACAGCATCAGAATTTGTGTTACTCCATACCTAAAAGGTAACACTTTTACTTGTGACATTTAGTAATAAAAGTGGTCACATTTGTGACGTCTGCAAATAAAATAATTTTCAAGCTGATTATAACACTAATTATTTTTACCCCAAAAAAACAAGTTCTGGTAAATAAATAAACACAAGTGCTTTTGTGTTTTGCTTTTTATTTTATAACTCAAACAAACAGTTTACTTGTTTTATTTTATTTCAAGCACTTAAATAAATAAATGAAAATGGTAAATTCAAAAAACAGCACAAAAATATTTTGTTAACTGTGTTTTAAAACAAGTCAATGATTTTTATAATTGTTGGTAGCAATGTTTTAACACCAACCTCGCAAACATGATGACGGTAGATGTTTAAAACAAGTTTTGTTACTAAATCAATTCATGATACAACTAAATAGTAACATAATTAATCACTTTAGTGCAAAATAACAAACACTTTCGGTTTATTTTGGTTTAAAATAAAAACATTCAGTCAAAAAATAATATATTTTTATTTCGGGGTGAATAAAATTGTCTTTTTTACAGTCAATATTAGCCGAGTCGCGAAAGCTAAATATTAAACATCTCCGGCGTGAATTTTTTCATTAAATCAACGCGAAAAATCTCAAATTAAATGAAATAATTTTTGTGTGATTCCCCGCTCATGGCATCCTCAGTCGTCACTCACCTCGGGCAAGAAATGGTGGTTTTGTGCAAATGTCAGTGTTACCACACCACCGAAATCACTGCACTCAAGGTCATGATCACGTGTCCGTCACGTGTACACCAATTAAGCGCTTTTGCTCGTTCCGGTTCGATCAGTGGCGATCGTGTGCATGCCCGACACGAATCCGGGTCCAAGTCGACGTTCCCGGAGCGAATTCCGGATTTGACTGCGGCTCCGGGTTGTCGAAAGGCTGCCAGGAACCGCCCGCTTGCGCAACACCATCGATTTTGCTGGACCAACCTGGCCTACTAGATGTATTATACATGACCCACTCGATGCGAACTGAAGACTTATCTGACAAACTTCCGAAAATTACCAACGGAAATTATGAGACTAAAAGAGTTTTAAAACGAAAACTAACCCCAAAAACTTTTCACCCGGCGCATCCACCACTTTAACAATAATACAAGAAATAAATAAATAAATAAATATTGTGTCAATAATTGAAACATCACAATTTTTAATGTCTTTCAGTATATTATTTGCACGTTTAATCAATTTAAAATCTTATTAAAAGTAATGCATGCAGTGAAACTTTTATTAAAACAGTTGAGTGTAAAAAGCATTTGATAACAAAACTGTTTACCTAAATGAAATTTAAAGCAAAACACAAAACATTTCATTTATATTTGCGCAGTTTTAATAACATTAAACTGTGTGTTTGTTTTGAAGCAATTTTGAGATAATTAATCCAAAATGGGGAAAAATAAATAATATTTTAATCGAGCTTTATTTTACGCGCCAAGGGAAACACCTGAAAAAGAAGCTAGATGGAGCCACTTTTGGCGGTAAATTCAAATGCGAATAAATCCAAGTGTGCAATATTTTATCAATTGTCTCCAGATAATTAATCCAAAATGGGGAAAAATACACAAAATTTTTAATCGAGCACCAATTTGCGCTCCAGTGAAATAACTCAGGGGAAACACCCTAAAAAGAGGCTAGATGGAGCCACTTTGGCGGTAAATTCAAATGCGAATAAATCCAAGCGTGCAATATTTTACTTTGTCCCAATTGTCTCGGAACGTTTTAAAGTCGGCGTTTTCTTTTTACGGCATAAACCGTCTGTCTAGAAAATTAAGAAATACCTCGGTGAACTAATTCGCGTAAAGTCGTGCGGAAAGCTTTTCGTTCTCTTGTATAATGTGTTCTCGGACAGGCGATAAAATTTTATCGTCGTCCAGCAATATTTCCTATGTGTGATCCTATGTAGTAGCTCTGACGCGACACCTTTTTTATCATCTCGAAAACCCGTCCACATCCTCGATAACCAATACAAGAGAAACGTGCCACTGGAAACCCAGTCCTTAGGAAAATGGATGAGTAGTCAAGAACATCCAAGTCCCATCTTAACACCAGCTCGATTTTATACCTGGAGAATTTTACGAGCGCTCGCGTGTAAACAAGGAGATTGAAGAATACGCAAAAAATTAAATTACGAAGTTTAGACGATTAGAATAGCTGCTGTTTATTGGGCCGGAGTAACAATTTAGGGACCGAAACCCGGTAATTGCTTTTAATTCAAGCGGAAAACGGCACAAGAAGTGCGAGATATTTAATTAAATCAAGCATTTTAAATTTCGCGCCAACAACATCCGCCAGGTGGCGGAATTATTTAACTTCAAATTTAAATTCTCCAATGATATAATAACAAAAACTATTGTTTATTATACCAAAAATACAAAAATTGCAATTTTGACAAAAGAGGCGCTTTTTCTTTATTTTACTTACTTACTATTTTTTTACACACTAATTTACTGCTACTAGTCCAGTACTCTGAAATACATTCATGGTTACATAACTCTATCATAATTACATAATTCTAATTTTGCAATTAATAATAGTTATTATTTTCATTAAAACACTCTAGTTATTTATATAAGGGCTTGATTAATTCAATTAAATTTCTCTTGGGCCAAAAACCGGTTTCTTGAAACATAATGGCGTCCGGCGTCTGTCAGTTTTAACCTCAAATTTTTTGTCGGCTTATTTACATAATTTTTTTGCTTTAAAAATGGTAAAAGAGTCAAGTAGTTTGAAAAAGAAGCGCAAAAGTGGCACTAGTGCCGATAATGAGGCCGAAATTGACATTTATAAGGTAATTAACCCCAATTTGGGGAATCACAGTTATTGGTGTTTTTTTTGCAGAAATCGGTCGAATTTGAGGAGAAAGAGGCCTTAAATCGGCCTAACGATACTGACGCTCAAATTTACTTCACAACTTGTAAAGAAATTCGGCAATTATTTGGCGAAATAAGTGAATTAAAAATGAAGAGTGGGTCAGACGTAATTGGGTAATTTTTGTTGTTTCGTGTAATTTTTTGGGTGATTTTTAGGTAAGGCCTAAAATAATAGAAAAAACCACCGAAGTGTGTTTATTATTGGTACTTTTGAAAAAACTGAACCGTATGGAAAAAGTCAGATTGGTATTTCCTAAAGAGGAATTGGCGGCGGAGAAACAAAAAGTGGACAGTATTAATTTACAATATCAGAATTTGTTGTACGAGGCCAACCACTTAATGTCGGAATACCGCAAATGCTTCCAATTCAAGTAACCAAAATTTCAGTTTTGTGAAAATCACCCAAAATCGGTTTTAGGTCGAAAGACGAGCACATTGAGCTGGTCCCCGTTGAGGAATTCTTCGCCGAAGCCCCGGAAAACTTGACGAAAAAATTCACTAAAGTTGGTATCACTTCGTGGTAATTTTCTCCGTAAAATTAAAGATTTTAGTTTGACGAAAATGACGAATTGGTGAAACACGAACTGCGCCTCGCGCGTCTCGAATGGGAGCTCCAACAGCGCATCCACTTGGCCGACATGTGCAAGAAACTCGAAGAAGAGAAGAAGAAACTAGAGGCTGATATCGGCGAACGCCGCAATAAATTGGACAAATTGGGGCCTCTTCTGTCTTCAGTCATGGAGGCCACTAAACCGGTCCAGGAGCACTTGGGGCTGCACATTGATAAAATCCAAGCTGAACACAAACTTGCCTCGCTTTTACCCAACCCCCTGTACCTGTTTTATGCCAATATTGACGCCTACAGACAGGTGAATGACTCGAGGATGAGTGTCGAAATCGTGGGGGACCAAGAGGAGGCGAGCCAATGGAAGGAATTGGAGTTGGCTGAGGACGATGATGAGGAGGACGAAGACAACGAAGCGGAAATAGAGACACAAGAAGTGGAGGAAATCGTCGAGACGAAGAAACGCCGTCACCGGAAGTCCGTCCATATTGACCCACTTGAGGAAAAAAAACGGAAGTTGTTACAAGTACACCCCCTTTCAGTCCAAGTCACCGTCACGACCAAAGACGGCCCCTCAATCAAAATCCGACTCAGCTATTACCCAAAGTTAGAAATCGTCACTGTATCATCAAGTGTCGACATTCCTAGCAACATTACAGGTTCCTGTAGTAGCAAAAACCCCGATTGTCACCCCTAACTGTCTTTTTTTCCAGGAAATGCCGCTCGTGAGGTTTTATCAAACGAAAGTGTCCTTGTCGAGCTCGTCGGGGGCGATTTCGGGCTCGACAGCCCCAATCCTTGTACCCCTTACCAGTTGAAAAAAGTGGGTTTGGGGTCATTCCAAAGTCTCGTCCCTGACCTAGGTTATGTCTACACTTGGGCGCAAAAAATGTGCGGAATTGATTTTTTGAATAAAATGACCGGTTCGGATCATTTAAGCCAAACTAATGTCGAGTCGGTTATGAAAACCATCAAAAAACGCCTCAAATCGCGGTATGCCTTGGCGAAACAGTTGGAGGAGTTGGAGCGGAGTGTGATTCCTGTTTTACCGGCTAGTGTGGATTTGCCACGGACCACGATTTCGAGTCTTACGAAGTGGTCCTCAGGGACTTATCAGGGTTTTTGTGAGGCTCAATTCACGGAAGGTTTATTAGAAGCAGAGTTAATTTCGCCGAACGATATTTTTTATAAAGCGACGATAACGCGAGATAATGGTAAGTTATACGGGTCATGTGACTGGATTAAATATTTTTTTTAGCTAATTTGCAAGCTTTTGTTGTTATTAAAAACGACTATCCTTCAATCCCACCGATTTTTTCACTTTGTTTAAATTATAATGGGACTAGGCATTCGCAAAACGACGATAATATTCGGGTTTGTTGGTGACTTTACTATTGTTGGATTGGTATTAGTGTCATTTTTACAGGACATGGAACGGTCGATTAATGTTGATTGGAATCATGAATTCTCGAACGCAAATTGGCTTTTGTCGGCACAAATCATGTCATTGTGTGTCGGACTCGACATTTATTTGGAAACGGAGGATCCTGGGACGTTTCAACAGAACACCATGTATATCAAATCGACTTGGTGAGGATTTTTAATTTGTGATTTTTGGAGTTATTTAGACTTTTTCAGCGCTAGGAATAGGAGAAAGCCGTTTAAGTTCAGGAATATTGGGGTTGGAGTCTACACGCAATAAATTCTGTATTGAGTTTTGACAAATAAATGAGTTTTTGAAGCCTGTTGTGTTTTAGTCAAGTTGGTCACACTTTTTACTGAAATTTTCACATTATTTGGGTCAGATAATTAAAAACACCTTTTCCTTATAACACGAAACTTTAATCACACTTTTTGTTCAATTTATATGGGATGGGGGCACTTAAGTTCTTAAAAAAAATCATTTCAAATTTAGGGTTGCCACTTTAGGATCTGGTTTGACCCGGAGATTTTTATTAGTTTATAATGCAACTTAAAAAACAAACACTCTAAAACACAAAGTAATACACTTTTTAATATATAGGAACATTGTATTTTAACAAATTTTAAACAATAACAAAGATAAAAATAACACAAAGTAACGCTTCTTTTTAAATGGTAAAATAGAAAAACAAAAAAAAATTAATAAAAAATAGTCAACATTGGAAATAACAATAAAAAAACCAAATAACAGAAACGTATTACTATGTGATTATTTGAATTTATAATTAGAGTAGGCAGTTTTATTTCTCTGTGATTCATAAAAAATTGAGGAAAAAAAGGCGTGTCTTGTGGCGCAACTTTTAATAGGCGAAAATATGTTAGTTGGTGGAAAATTTAAAATACCTATCTGAATTTTTTCGTTTAATCTGGAGAAATAAAAATTTAACCCGGAGCTCGAAAACTCTGTGTCAAACTCGGAAACTCCGGGTCAAACCCGGAGAGGTGGCAACCCTATTCAAATTCCACCCTAGAAACGGCCAATAACTTGAAAATTAGTAAAATTAGTATTTTAACTTAGAAATAGTGTTTTTACGCCTAAAAAAGTTGAAAACAAAGTTAAAAATTGTGGCATCACTTCGGTTGGCAACGCGTTTTCCCCCAAAACGAAGCCTTGAATTTTATTTGAAAATAATATTATGAATACTACTCGTGAACGTTATGATTATTACCGTTTCGATTACTACTTATTGCTTCAATTTCTTGATTACTCGCATTTTTTTTAACTTATTTGTGTGTAATTAATGTTTTTTATGTAAAGTTGGCGACACCTACAAAAAAGCGCGCGTTAGATAACCTCAATTTCTGGCATAACCTCACAGTTTTTGTTTGGTTTTTTTTGCGAAAATGCCTGAAAATACCGAAAGACTGTCGTTAGAATACGAGAATTTGTCTCGGAAATGGACTCAGTTGGTCCCCGACTTTAGTAAACAATACTGTAATATTTATTTGGCAAGGTTAAAAGAAATGACTCCGTTACTGGAGGCCAACATTGTGAAAAAATGGGGTACAGAGTACCCCATTTGTAAATTACACAAATTATCGGAAGAGAACCACGGGAAATGTGTTGTAATTGGGACGTTATTCAAGAATCAGAAATTGAAACCATCGATTTTGAAACAATTAGCTGAGGAGGACCAAATGGTGCCCCAACCCATAGTGACTCATTTTACGGACAAGTCTGACGAGCTTTTTATCGAGGATGAGTTACAGAGATATCTGATTATAAGTACGTAACCAGTTTTTAGATTGTTTATTATGAGAAAAAAATTTAGGTTGCATTCCTTGTGATTATTTGGTGACGGGAATTTCCTGTGCCCTTTTGGGGACGGCCGACGACAAGGGCCGCTTCATCGTCGAAGACTACACTTTCGCCGACTTCCGGCCCCAAATCCCGCGCCCCCTTGTCCCAGATTCAGCTTTTGTGATCTTCCTGAGCGGTCTGGACCTGATAAACAGCCCCAAATGCGATTTAAACCTCCAACTTCTCACTTTCTGGCTTTCGGGTCTCTGCGACGTGGCCCCCTTTTCCGCCTCCAAAATAACTCGTGTCATTATCGCCGGTAATTCCATTCGTAACACCTCGGAACAAGTCAAACCTTCAATCTCACTGCTGTCTCGGCGCCCCGAATCCTCCGAAGCCGTCGACGCGGTTAAAATCCTCGACAAATTTTTATTCCAATTGGGTCAAGTCATCGACGTCGATGTGATGCCGGGGGAGAACGACCCCTCCAATCGCATCCTCCCCCAAAAACCCATGCATTATTGCATGTTCCCCCAGTCGGCGGTTTACAAGTCGGTAAATCAGGTCTCTAACCCGTATTTTTGCTCACTTGGGGGTGTGAGAGTTTTGGGGACGTCGGGACAGCCGGTGAGGGATGTAATGCGGTATTGTGAGATTACGGATCCTTTGGAGGTTTTGGAGGATTGTTTGAAGTGGGGGCATTTAGCCCCCACGGCTCCTGATACTTTGGGGTGTTTTCCGTTTTATGATTGCGATCCGTTTATTATGGAGGAGTGTCCGCATGTGTTTTTTGCGGGGAATCAGGAAGAGTTTGGAGTGAGGGAGTGTACAGGTGACTGTTTTATCGGCTTGGAGAAAAATAGGAGTTTGATTTGTTTTTTTTTAGGGCCTGATGGACAGAAGGTTACCTTGATTAGTGTGCCAGAGTTTAGTAAGAGTTTGCAGGGTTGCATTTTGAATTTGAAGACGATGGAGTGTAATTCGATAAGTTTTCAAACATTGTAGATTTTTTTAATAAATGTTTTGTGTATTTATAAATCAAAATAAAGGCAATTATTTTTTTTAATTTGTTTTCTTTCTTGTCTCCTAATAAATTACATAAAACTTTTAAGATTACGTGAAAAAAGGTGAAAGTACAATTCGTGAAAACATTTATTTATTAAGTTAAGCAAAAGCACAATATAAAATAAATTTAAGCGGATTATTTTATTTTGTACAACTAAAGAATCATCAAAATTCTTAAGCTCCAAATTACCAATATTATTGCTTTCGTCTTCAGCTTAATAAACATCAGATTATTTATCATCTTTCTCATTTTTATCATTGCTACTGTTTTCATTGAGTGTGTTACGTTTATTTGTATTGTCATATTTGTCATCGCTATTTTCTTGATTGTCTTTGTTTCCTTCATTAATTCCATCTTTACTTTTATGACTATTTTTATTATCTTTATTATTAGTAGTGTCGTTATTTTCATCATTGTCATTTTCATTTTGATTAGCTTTTTTAAACTCGTTATTGTCATCTTTATCATCGTCATTTTTGTTTTCGTTATTTGTATTGGTTTCAGGATTGTTATTCGCTTTATTTTTGTCATCTTCTTGATATTCGTCTTCTTCATAACGATTTTCCTCATTGTCTGTGTCTTCTTCATCGGTATCATTACTCTCTTGATCCTTATCTTCTTGATAGTCATAGTCTTCGCTATCTGTATCCTCTTCATCATTATCTTTTTGATCCTCTTCTTCTTCATAGTCATATTCTTCATTATCTGTATCTTCTTCATTTTCTTCGTTATCCTCTTGATCTTCATTTTCTTCATCGTTGTCGTTGTACTCTTGATATTCATCTTTTCCATTATCTGTTTCTTCTTCATTTTCTTCGTTGTCTTCCTGATCTTCATCATTTTCGTTGTCGGTTTTTTTTTCATTTTCTTCGTTATCCTCTTGATCTTCATCTTTTCCATTGTCTGTTTCTTTTTCATTTTCTTTGTTGTCTTCCTGATTTTTATGATTTCCATTGTCTGTTTCTTCTTCATTTTCTTTGTTGTTTTCCTGGTCTTCATCATATCCGTTGTCTGTTTCTTCTTCATGTTTATCTTTATCCTCTTGGTCTTCATTTTCTTCATCGTTGTCGTTTTCCTTTTGATCTTCATATTTTTCTTTGTCTGTTTCTTCTTCATTTTCTTCGTTGTTTTGTTGATCTTTATCATTTCCATTGCCTGTTTCTTTCTCATTTTCTTTGTTATTTTCTTGATCTTTTTTATTGTCATCTTCTTCATCGTCTATGTCTTCTTCATTTTCTTCATTGTTATCCTCTTGGTCTTCATTTTTTCCACTGTTTATTACTTCTTCATTTTCTTCCTTTTCCACTTGATCTTTATCTTTTTTATCGTCATTTTCTTCATCATTGTCGTTATCCTCTTGATCTTCGTCTTTTCCATTGTCTGTTTCTCCTTTCTTTTCTTCGTTGTCTTCCTGATCTTTATCATTTCTATTGTCTGTTTCTTCTTCATTTTCTTCGTTATTCTCTTGACTCTCATTTCTTTTATCGTCGTTTTTTTCATTGTCTATGTTTTCTTTATTTTCATCATTATCGTTATCTTCTTGATCCGCATCTTCTTCATTTTCTTCGTTGTCTACCTGATCTTTATCATTTTTATTGTCTGTTTCTTCCTCATTTTTTTTGTTACTCTTTTGATCTCTTTTATCATCATTTTTTCCATTGTCTGTTTCTTCCTCATTTTCTTCGTTATCCTCTTGATCTTCATTTTCTTCATCGTTGTCGTTGTCCTCTTGATCTTCATCTTTCGCATTGTCGGTTTCTTCTTCATTTTCTTCGTTGTCTTCCTGATCTTCATCATTTTCATTGTCTGTTTCTTCCTCATTTTCTTCGTTGTCTTCCTGATCTTCATCATTTTCATTGTCTGTTTCTTCCTCATTTTCTTCGTTGTCTTCCTGATCTTCATCATATTCATTGTCTGCTTCTTCTTCGTTTTCTTCGTTGTTTTCCTGGTCTTCATTATTTCCATTGTCTGTTTCTTTCTCATTTTTTTCTTTATTCTCTTGATTTTCATTTTCTTTATCGTTGTCGTTATCCTCTTGATCTTCATCCTTCCCATTGTCTGTTTCTTCTTCGTTGTCTTCCTGATCTTCATCATATTCATTGTCTGCTTCTTCTTCGTTTTCTTCGTTGTCTTCCTGATCTTCATCATATTCATTTTCTGTTTCTTCTTCATTTTCTTCGTTGTCTTCCTGGTCTTCATTATTTCCATTGTCTGCTTCTTCCTCATTTTTTTCTTTATTCTCTTGATTTTCATTTTCTTCATCGTTGTCGTTATCTTCTTGATCTTCATTTTTCCCATTGTCTGTTTCTTCTTCATTTTCTTCGTTGTCTTCCTGATCTTCATCATTTCCATTGTCTGTTTCTTTTTCATTTTCTTCGTTGTCTTCCTGATCTTCATCATGTTCTTTGTCTGTTTCTTCTTCATTTTCTTCGTTGTCTTCCTCGGCCTCATTATTTCCATTGTCTGTTTCTTCCTCATTTTCTTGGTTATTCTCTTGGTCTTCATTTTCTTCATCGTTGTCGTTATCCTCTTGATCTTCATCTTTCCCATTGTCTGTTTCTTCTTCATTTTCTACGTTGTTTTCCTGATCATCATCATTTCCATTGTCTGTTTCTTCTTCATTTTCTTCGTTGTCTTCCTGATCTTCATCATATTCATTGTCTGTTTCTTCTTCATTTTCTTCGTT